GTCATCCATGTGACGAAATGAAAAGTATGCCGTTTGCAATAAACTTTGCATAAAATAGTTAATTTGCATTTAATTTTAATGGTTCAAAGAATGTCAGGCAAAATGGTCGGCCCTCACGCATGTTCACTTCATCAAATCTGGCCCTCTTTGAAAAAAGTTTGGACACCCCTGGTATATAGCATTCCTTTGTATCAGGGAAGATCTAGAATTCAGAATGACCTTAGAAAAATCAATTAGCTGTTAGTTGTTTGTGGTCAGTATTGTATCCTTCTTTATGGCTAGGGATATGTTTCACTGATGTGCCACTTATGTGATTTCTAATTATGGTCCATATTTCTCTCCACCCTGCATGTATTTCAATGTCTGTATTCCCTTTTAACAGTGTCTTTATACAATACATACTATCTATACCTAATTCCAATGGTTTGTTAAGGTGGCTCTTTTGTGCATGTTGTAATCCTATTCTAACTCCTTCTACTTCTGCTTCTTGGGCATTCACTTCACTTATTTTCACATTTGGTACAGTAACTCTTTTAATAATGGATCAATGGGCTCTTTTCCTTCTGCTTTTGTTAATACACTGTTCACCTTTTGTGATTTTAATTTATTCTCATCAATTTGTGGGATATGTAATTTTTCATCTTCCCCTAGTATTAACGTGGTTTTTGTTACATTCTGTCCCTGTTTTATTTCTATTACCCCTGTTCGATACAATTTTTCCCCATTTAGTCCTGACACCCATATTTTACACTTTCTTTCTCTATGTGGTACTTTTGCTTCATCTATTATGGTTATTTGGGCCCCTGTATCTAATAACCATTTAAATTGTTCATCATTCCCGGTGTCCCAATTTAATACTTTGGCACATATAAATTCTATTGTCTTTTCCCCTGGGATTTTTTCTGGGCCCTTGGTTTGGAGCCCCTGCTACTCGTTTTTCTATTTAGGGAACTTTGTCCATTCCTGCCATCCTTTTTCTATTGCTGCCTGTTTTTGTTCTTGTGGCGTCATCTTTTTAAAATCTGGTTTACTGTATCCATTTCCAAACAGAAAACCAAATATGGCTCTTTCTTCCTTACGTGGGTCTTTCCCCTTTTTCAGGGTTTGGAAACTTTTGCACATTTTACGTGCCTCTCTTGGGGGTTCGTATGTTGGTGTTGGGGTATGTTTGCATACTACATCCAAATTATTTATAGTTTCCAATATTTCCCATATGCTACTCCCTGTTAGGGCTGTTAGCCATAATTTCAGGCTTTGGTTTCCTTCCTTATTTTCTATTCCTTGTCATACCATTTGTGCTGTTACTCTGTCTATTGTTATCAATCCTGGCTCCCCTATATATTTAAATTGGTGAGGATCAGCTCTCTGTGCTGCTAACTCTTCTTGGACTGCTGTTGTGGGCTGGTAAAACAGGAAGGAAATTCCCACATCTTTATGCAACCCTCTGATAAGGCTCCTCCCTGCCCTGTAGCTGCTATTGATAAGGCTATTGCGGCTGGTAGAGTTAACGGCCAGTCTTCATTCCCTATAGCTGAACTCATTTTCATCAGCCCTCCTGAATAGCTGGGATTTCCTGTTAATATAGTTAGCTCCAGCTGTGAAATTAATTCATTCATGTTTTCCATTACTAACCTTCTTACCCACAATACTGGGTGCTCTCCCTGTCTCCTTCGGGTTCGACTTATTAAGTCATTCATTTCTATTCGGGATCTTTCCCTTGATTCCATAGTGGCTATGGGTGGAAGCCTTCCCCTCTGTTTATATATTATTTGTGTTATCAGATGAGCCTTGACCGAATCATCTCCAACCTCAACCTTTTCTCCTATCCCCTTCTCACATTTATATCCCTTCCGTTAGCATATCCCATGGGTACACACCTCCTTTTGCTACTTTTTTCCTTTCTTCCTTTTGATTTTCTTCTGTGACTGATTCAGGATAAGGGGAGGTGGGGCTGTAGGTTTTATCTTTTTTCCCATTATTCCCCTTTTTCTCTCTCTCCTGAGTTTCCTTTTTTAATAAGGTTTGTAGGGTATTTACTGTGCCTTCTAATCTAGTTATTGTATTTCTGGCTTTTTTTAACCAGTGCCAAAGTACACAGACCCCTTTATTTGGATCCCATTTGTCGGCTTTTAATTTTTTCTTTTCTCTAGCATATCTTATAAGGTCCTCTAGTACCCCTCCCATCAACTTGTCAGTTGTTTGACTTGGCAATTTTAATATTTCTGGGGTACTCCCATTTCGATATAGAGCCCTGGTTGATCAGACCTAGCTTTTTCAGATTCACAACCCGTCCGCTCTTGGTCTGTTCCGTCCAACCTTATATACCCTGTTTCGGTATTTCAATATTCCTCCACTCACCTGACAATTGCTGACAGATTTTTGTTGTTTCATTCTGCCCTTTCAAAACTTTCGTCTATAACCTTCACTTACCCCCTCCCCCCCCCAGCCCTGGAGATCACTGTCATGTCCAGCCCCAGACTGCTGACTGTCCCCATGGCAAGGAGCCTGTGTTGTGCTACTGACACAACCTGCACTGCTAGCACTGAAATGAGGCATGATTCATCCCTCAGAGTATACCTGCCCCTCAGCACTAGGGATGTTAAGGACTAGTTAACTATCCAATAAGCATTTGCATATCAGATAATCTGTCAACTAGTCAATTTCCCCACACACCTTGCTGTCTCTATGAAATAGACAATTAGACAATTAACCACAATTTAATTGCAGTTTAATTAACTCTCCACAGAGCACAACAACAGCTCTGCCAGTACTCTCCCGATAATCCCTCCACTAGTCAATACAGCTACGCTGAGCACAGTGAGTGACGTGTGTGCTGCCGGTTCCAGGGGTTCTTGCCAGCTCCCAAGGGGTGGGCAGAGTTAAGGTTGGGTATTAACCTTCACTATGGATTTCCTAGTTTTCAGAGGTCTGAGTACTGCTGAACACAACCTTCTGGCAGGGCAGGAGATAACTTGGAGTTAAGGTTGCCAGGAAGTAACTAAATTTTTTGTCAGTGACTAGACGTGCGATCACGTGATTACAGGAAGGTGCCATTGTGTGGTGTTCCACAGATTTGAATTTCATCATGTGAATTTCCCTGCAGGTGTTGAGTGAAGCCTTATTGACCAGAGGAGGGATTAATGGGAGCAGGGTGACCCAGCGGTCACTGTGTTCTAGAAGGGCAAGAGATAACATCAACAGGCACCCTGAACTCTGTGCTCAAAATAGGGATGCCAATGTGTAGTTGATTACACGATTAACCGATAAGCCCGGGCTTATTGGGTAATTCTGTTGATTACATGTACCCCCCTCTCCTCCCTCCCACTGTCTCTGTATCAAACTGGATCACTGGGAGTTGGCCTGGGAGCAGATTGGCTGCGTGCCCCAGCCCCAGGGTATGTCTACACTACCCTCCTAGTTCGAACTAGGAGGGTAGTGTAGACATACCCTGGGGCTGGGGCACGCAGCCAATCTGCTCCCAGGCCAACTCCCAGTGATCCAGTTTGATACAGAGACAGTGGGAGGGAGGAGAGGGGGGTACATGTAATCAACAGAATTACCCAATAAGCCCGGGCTTATCGGTTAATCGTGTAATCAACTACACATTGGCATCCACACAGTAGGATTATCAGAAGTTTATTTCATTCTTCTGTAGGGTTGGGCTCTGCTCCTGACATCTTGGTGGAAGCACATCAGGATGGAGGGATCCGGGTGGCATGTCAATCATCTGGATGGTACCCACAGCCCAAGGGGCTATGGAGAGATCACCAGGGACACCTCTTACCATTAGCCTCAGAAAACATCTCCCAAGCAGCCAATGGCCTGTTTCAAACAGAGATTGCCACTGTTCTAACAGAAGAGTCCAACCAGAAAGTGTCCTGCCATGTCTGGAACCCCCGACTTGCCCAGGAGAAAGAGTTGGCGATTTTCATAGCAGGTCAGTTGCCATCCAAATAAATTATTTCAAAATAATTTCCTAGTGTAGACATGCCCTAACTGTCCCTATAAACTAGCCGCTTAAAGTAGAGTGGGGTGAGCAGAGCCATCCCAACCATTGGACTATTCAGGTTAGTTGCCCCACGCCCTGTGCTTTGGGGGCCCCCACACTTCACGTTCTCATGGGACCTTTGTGGTGCAGGGACTGGTGGCAGTGAAACCAGCTCCGCTCTACTCCAACACCCCAGCTCTGGGTGTCACTTGGGAGTGGAGGGAGTGGAATGGGGGGGAGGAGAGGGGCGGGGCAGAGTGGAGGGGAAAGAGGTGGAGGAAGGTGGTGACTGGGACAGAGCTGGGGGGGGTTTCCTGAGTTCTGCACCCCTCTAGGGGCAGCCCTGGGGTGAATTGTGCCTGCTGTCTTAGGCTATGTCTAGACAGTGATGCTATTTCAGGGTTCCACAAGGAGTAAGGGAAGTTTCAGAATAGCAGGTTATTTTGAAATTTGCTGATGTATAAACAGTGCCAAATTACAAAATAAACTATTTTGAAATTAGATCAAAATAAGATATGCAAATTATGTAGCTTGAATTGCATAGCATATTCCGAGCTAAGGGTGCTGTGTAGACGTACCCTTCAGGAGCAGCCCCTCTCTATTACGGGTTCTTCTGTTATGATTCTGGATGCTAAAAAATGATAAAAAATTGTATTGAGTACATGATTAGTCATTTATTCACTACTTAACATCCTCAATCAAGGTACAGTAAAGATCCAGACTCTAGAGAAAGTAATAATAATAAAAAAAAGATAAAATAGGTAAACGATGAAGATTTCAGGTCCATTCAGAAGCATCTGGCAGTCTAGATTTGGCCACGCAGTCTATCTACAAACTATTCCTGGCTTAGGGCATGCTTGAACTGACACCAGGGGGAGATAAGCACAGCAGAGTCCTCTCTGACCCCCAACATGTCCCTTCCCATTAAGTAACCATGTTTGGTAACCAGGCTAAAGCTGGGAGTTTCACCGCTCCATGTGTATTTCCCTGGGAGATTCTTTTGACTTGTCAGCCCTGCCTTCATGCTGTGCATGTTTGCTCCCCCGTTAATGACACTTTATCTTGCAGAGCTGTTTTTCCCGAGGGCCAATCCCTGGAAGGTGGCTCTTGCTGTGATCTTGCCTCTCCTGGCTGTTCTCCTTCCCCTGGCCAGTTACTGCTTCTGGAGGCAGCACGGAGTGAAAGGTGAAGTAAGGAACGGGCT